AATGAGCTTCTTCTCCACCACCACCTGTTACGGGAGGCATGCAGCAGTGACGCATGAGGACATGGGGACACAGACAGACAGACAGTGCTGCATGCAGCCATGCGTATAGGCCCTTCTCTCGCATGAGCTTCTTCTCCACCACCACCTGCCAGGGGAGGCATGCAGCAGTGACGCATGAGGACATGGTGCCGCAGTGAGACATGCAGCCATGGTGCAACAGCCATACACACAGCCATGCATAGACGTCTTCTCGTGCATGACCTTCTTCTCCGCCACCACCATCGGATATGGGGGTATGAGGCAGTGATACATCAAGGTACGAATGTAGCACCGTCAGAGCAGTCAACAATGCAGCGGTGCTTGAAGCCCTTGTCACGAATGAACTTACTCAGCACCTACCCCATACCTGAGTGGCAATGCACGCGTCCGCGCCCGGCAGCAAGCACCCAGCACACGTTGACTCCGCTCATTCTCTCTCGGCCCCCATCAACGCACCTTCATCAAACAAGCACATCACATAGTTTACCTGGGTGGCGATGCCAGCATGGTCCGTGCCCGGCACCCAGCACACGTTGAAGCCGCTCATGCGCTTCCAGCGCACGATCGTGTCCTCCACTGCTGCTGTGAGCCCATGGCCTATGTGCAGCGCGCCCGTCACATTCGGGGGCGGCACCACCTGCAAGAGGAGGAGAGAGGGGAGGGGGGAGAGGGAGGTAAGGAATTGATTCAGAGCAAGGGGAGAAGGGGAGAAGGAGGGGAGAGGAGGGGGGGGGGGGGGGGGGGTTTAATTGAAACTCTGCTGTGAGCCCATGGCCCACGTGCAGCGCACCCGTCACATTTGGGGGCGGCACCACCCGCCAGGGAGGGGGGAAGGGGGGGGGAGAGGAAGGGGAAAAGGGGAAGGGGGAGTGTATTTGACAGAGAGGTTTTGCAAGAAAACGGCCTAGAAAAGTGCCTCTCCCTGAGACGAGCAACAAGACTCGATGGTGCTGAGAAGCACCTGAGAAGAAAGATGGCACCGTATGCTTCTAAGCACAAGGGACTCCAAAACCAAGGGCCTAGTTCAATACTGCTTCTACAGGCCGATGATCAAAGCCCTCGACCTGCAATATCGCTTGCACTCGTGGGACTTACAATGACAAAGGGCGGCTTGGTGCTCTGATTGTCGCCCTTGAAGAACCCCGAAGTCTCCCACCACTCGTACCACCTGATGGGGTCCAATCAACCAACCATGGGATGTGATGTGAAGGGGGATGAGAAGGACAAGTAAGCACTGCGTGAGGAGTCTATTTTTGAGGCGCCTCAAAAATAGATGTGAAGGGGGATGAGAAGGGCAAGTAAGCACTGCTAACATGATTCATGCATCCAGAGTCACACGTGTCCCACTGTAAGGAAACTCATTATTACTCATGACAATGCCTCAATGGCCTCGTGGCTGCAATTCCTTTGCAAGGCTCTTCTTCTGACCAGGCTCTGTGGGCGGATTCGCTGCATCCACGCCATAAGGTGATCCATTCTCTACAAGGGGGTTCACTAACACTCACAACACTATGCATCAACGGCCTTGGGTTGGGGATGCACGGCTTAGCCATTTCCTTGGCGAGGCTCTTCTTCTGCTCAGGCTCTGTGGGCGGATTCGCTGCATCATCCGCGCTGTAAGGTGATCCATTCCCTACAAGGGGGTTCATTAATTTTCACGATGCTTCGACAGCCTTGGGTTTGAACGCCTTGGCCATTTCCTTGTCAAGGATCTTCCTCTGACAAGACTCTGTAGCGGATTCACTGCGTCCGCGCTATAAGGGTGATTCAATACTATGTAATGCATCACTACTCATGATGCTTCGACAGCCTTGGGTTTGAACGCCTTGGCCATTTCCTTGTCAAGGATCTTCCTCTGACCAGACTCTGTAGCGGATTCACTGCGTCCGCACTATAAGGGTGATTCAATACTATGTAATGCATCACTACTCATGATGCTTCGACAGCCTTGGGGTTGTACGCCTTGGCCATTTCCTTGGCGATGTTCTTCTTCTGCCCTGGCTCCGTGGGGGGATTCACTGCATCCGCGCTATAAGGGTAATTCATCACTGTGTGCAGTTTCACCACTACTACTTACGATGCTTCGACAGCCTTGGGGTTGTACGCCTTGGCCATCTCCTTGGCGAGGTTCTTCTTCTGCCCGGCCTCCGTGGGGGGATTCACTGCATCTGCCTCCTCCCCTGCTCCTGCGCCTGCTGCTGCCGCTGCTGCCTTCTTGGCTTTCGCCTCTGCCTTCTTTGAAGGCTGGACGAGAAAGAGATGACAAAGATGGAAAGAGGGAGAGGAAGGGGGATGGAAGGGAGATTCAAGAATGGGCTTACCCATGTCGGGAAGACCAAGCGAGCGAATCAGGCAAGCAAAGGCGACAGAAAAGAAGGCACCAGCAAAGTTGTGTCGTAGCAATTTCAAGAAGAACAAAGATGAGAAAATTCTGAGAACCCCAGCTCGCACCCCTGTGGGCTGCAGCGCGTCTGAGTCTTCAAACGGTGACTCGTAAGTCACAATGTCACCACGTCACCACGTCACCACGTCACCACGTCACCACGTCACCATGTCACCATGTCATGTCGTAGCAATTTCAAGAAGAACAAAGATGAGAGTGCAAAAAACCCCAGCTCGCACCCCCGTAATGCATCTGAGTCCTCTAATGCCACCTTTCCTCATATCACGATTCACGATAGTGGAAAGGACTTAGACGAATGTAAAAGGGCATATATGACCCGTACCTCTGCAGATGCAGCAGCAGCGGCTGCTGCCTTGGCCTTGGCCGCCTTCTCTGCTGCCTTCTGCTTCTTCAGCTCCTTCTCACGCGCCTGTGTGTGACGATAACGAGGGTTGACGGAAACGAGAACTGAGAACCAGGCGACAGAACCAGATTGACTGAACCAGACAGAATGACAGAGTTTTCACGGTGTAATAACAGGTTAGTGACCATATCGCGTTGGTAACCTGCTTGAGATCGTCCATCCACCCACCGTCCCTCCCTACATTGTTGCGAGAAAACTTGACCTACACTGATGATGCGACATGGTCGGGTCGCTGTAGAAAAGAAGAAAAAACGGAATTCATGCACAGCCATGACATGAGATGGCCTTTGCCAGAATGCAGACTGCTTCTGAGGATTAGGGAGAGAAGGTCCGGACACCACGACACGGCTATATTAAAAAAAAATATAAAAAAACACCCCGCCAGGTCCGGCCGTTTCTGAGGACTAGGAAAACAAGGTCCGGCCACCCCACACGGATCACCTTCTCCTCCTTCTTCTTCTTCCGCTCAGGGTCCTCCTTCTCTCCAGCAGCCAGCACGGCCTCAGCAGGCGTTGCTGCTGCTGGTTTTGAGGCGCCTCAAAACTCAAAACTATGCGGCACCTCAAAACTAAGCTCACCTTCTCCTCCTTCTTCTTCCGCTCAGGGTCCTCCTCCTTCTCTCCAGCAGCCGCCGCGACCTCAGCAGGCGGTGCTGCTGCTGGTTTTGAGGCGCCTCAAAACTCAAAACTAGGCGGCACTTCAAAACTAAGCTCACCTTCTCCTCCTTCTTCTTCTTCCGCTCAGGGTCCTCCTCCTTCTCCCCAGCAGCCGCCGCGGCCTCAGCAGGCGGTGCTGCTGCTGCCTTGAGATCCTTCTCCTGAAAATGTAGAAGGGGAAAACGCAAACAAGGAAGAAAACAATAGGATAAACAGAGCGGGATAGAGAATGGGAGAAAGGAAGGAGTCTTGATGGGTCAGTTAGAGCTGGAGCCTGGTAAGAAACACAATCCTCAACCGTTTGAAGCTTTTCCAACGCAAGCAATTACAAACGTCCCTACTAGCATTGCAATGAATAACGTTGACTTATGAGATACGTAACATCGATTGATAGACGTGTGGTTTTGAGACGGCTCAAAACTCCACTTCTACCACACGCATTGCAATGACAACGTTGACTCCTGAGATACGTAACATCGATCGAAATAACGAAAACTGGACGAGGATCTTACGCTTCGTGTGCTTGCCATAGCGCGTCTTATAGACTATGATCGCCATACGCGAAAGACTATTCCGTCACCGTTAAACTTCGTCTAGTGCGTTCTATAAACGCGATCACGAGCTTGCGATCGCGAGCTTTCGATCGCTCATACGCTTTGGATGAGGACGAACAAACGAACAAGGATAATTTAAAGAAGATCGGCGTTCTCAAACGGATACGAGAGCTATAACGAGTCTCAGGGCGAACGAGTCTCGCCATACACTCACCTCTGGTGCCATGGCGTTCCGACGCAAATAGGCGTCTAAGCAAAGCTAAGTCGGAGGCTTGGAAGGAAGCGAGGTGCCAAGGACAGGACCAGGGCCAAGGAAAATGCCGAGGAAGAAAAAGGCTCTCAAAAGGAGGCAGGAGGAAGATTTGACGGCTGGCCCAATGAGGTTGGGGGGGAGAGTTCAGACAGACAGGTACGGGAGATGGTGTCAGAAGTTTGTGGTGTGGCCCAAGGTTTGATCAGCGGCTGACGGAAAATCTCCCGACTGACAGAAGTACTTGCACACAAACGGCTGACTGCCAAACATCGAGGGAGGGCTTATTTCTGGACGGAAAGAAGCGGATCGGGTTGCGGAAACATGCTATCCAATGGGTTCGAACTGAACCTCCTGATGGTTTTTAGAAGGGAGGATGGAGGGATATGGTGCGCTGCAGAAAGATTTATCGTGGTCAGATCTGCTAAGCAGCGAACTTGACGAATAGGTTTGCGAACATGATTGCAAGTGCCGCAGCTTCAGACATGGTATTGGCAGTCGTTACGACAAACGGGAATCCTCCCTCGACACGCAATAGCGACCACTCACAAGCTCTCCGTCAACGTCTTGGTTTGCATGATTCTGGGTTTTGTTGTTTGTATTCGTTATTGATCTGATCATTAATTTGTGCTTGCGTATCCTCAACAATACATAGCGAGCTGCGTATAACCACTTGGAATTAATAGCTTTTCTACGCATGCAGCACGTCATTATCTAGGACTAGAGACTTAGGAAGGAACTCAGCTTAGTGGCAACCACTCCATTGAACCCTAACTTCACCAGGCAATATTCTCACTCGCTCGCCGCGCGTCATGCCTACAAACGGAAGCGCGTGTGCTTGGGTTGATGCTCACGGGAATCTAGACAAACAGGCCTCGAGAATAACTGACGTCCGCGACAGCAGCAACTGTGCTCGGTCTTGTTGCGAATCCAACTGTAGCGAGGATAGCAACCGCGCCGTTCAGTCAGGTGGTTGTATATCCGTCAATGACGGTTGCATGACGTCAGAGAATGGCTGCAACCCACTCCCCTCTGTTACCACCTCCACAAGCAGTGTTACCACTAGCGTTACCATCACTGGCAGCGACAACAGAGATGGCAGCAGTAGCGGCAGCAGCGCGCCGAGCGTGCGCATCAGCGGAAGCGGCGCAGTGGTGAGGGCGCGGGGAAGCGCAGGCGGAAGGCTGCTGTGCGGGGAGTGCGGGGAGAAGCGCGCCATGGTGAAACGACCCAAGACCGGGCAGCAGGTGCGCCTGCCGCTCTCTCTCCTTCAGGGCGCCCCCCCCCTCCCCTTCCACCTCCCCATCTCTCCTCCATCCCTTTAGCCCCTGCCAGGTGTGCAGGGGCTGCTTCGTCCTGTTGTTCGAAACAAAGATCCATCGCACCATTGTGGTGTGGACACGGCGGCTGCCGCTCTCTCTCCTTCAGGGCGCCCCCCCCCCACCCATCCCTGTGGCCCCTGCCTGGTGTGCAAGGACTGCTTCTTCCTGCTATTCGAGACTGAGGTCCATCGCACCATCGTGGACATTGCTGCTGCCACTCTCCTCACCCGCCGTTCGTCCTTTCAATCCGGTCTCCTCTCCACCCCCTGCTAGGTGTGCAAGGACTGCTTCTTCCTGCTATTCGAGTCTGAGATCCATCGCACCATCGTGGAAAACAAGCTCTTTAAACGAGGGGAGAAGGTGGCCGTGGCTGCGTCAGGGGGCAAGGGTGAGTGAGGGGTCAGTTCAATCCCATTGCCACTCTAACGATAGGCTTCAGATGCTCTTCAAACGAGGGTAGAAGGTGGCCGTCGCTGCGTCAAAGGGGAAGAGTGACTACAGGCTTTAGATGTTCTCGTCGTCTTGGGTTAGATGTGCCCGAATCCATATCCCCGATATAAGATATACCTTTCCTATTGCGCACATCTCCCTGTTCAATTCATACCATCACTACACTACAGCCTCCAGCTCTGGCTGAATGTTCATGAATAAGTAAAATATCGTCTTTTCCACCCGCCCTTCCTTCCCCCAGACTCCACCGTTCTCGCCCACATCATGTCTCTCCTCAACGCCCGCCACGACTACGGCCTTCAGCTCTTCCTCCTGTCGATTGACGAGGGCATCACGGGCTATAGGGACGACTCGCTGGAGACAGTCAAGCGCAACGAGAAGCAGGTGTGGGGGGGTTGGGGAGGGGGGGGAAGAGGAGGTGGGGGGGGAGGAGGAGGTGGGGGGGGAGGAGGAGGTGGGGGGGGAGGAGGAGGTGGGGGAGAGGAGGAGGTGGGGGGAGAGGAGGAGGGGGGGGGGAGGAGGAGGGGGGAGGAGGAGGAGGGGGGGGGGGAGGAGGAGGGGGGGGTAGGTAGTATTGGGTCTCCAACTCTTCCTCCTCTTCATCGACGAGGGAATCACGGGTTACAAGGAGAAGGTCAAGAGGAATGAGGACCTCCACAGCACACAGACCATGGTCTGGCAGACCAAGCCTTAAATGCTTCAACTTCTTTCTCCCTCCCTCCCCCATCACCTCGGAAAATTGCAGTATGGAATCCGCTCACGATTCTGCCTTACAAGGACCTCTATGGGTGGACCATGGTCAGAAAGTGAGCTGCCTTAAAGCTCGCAACCCCCTCCTCACCCCTCCATGCTTCCGCTGCCCTTCCATCTCACTGCAGTATGGTGTACCGCTGAGCATTCCCTCATACATGAACCTCTATGCGTGGACCATGGTCAGAAAGTGAGCTGCTTCAAAGCTCGAAATCCCCTCATTCTGCCCTCCACGCTTCCGCCCTTCCATCTCATTGCAGTATGGAATTCCGCTCACGATTCTCTCATACAAGGACCTCTATGAGTGGACCATGGACGAAATAGAGAGCTCCCTCAAAGCTCAACCTCTCTTCCTCTTCTTCCCACCCCCTCTTCCCTTCCCCCTCCCTCCCCCCACCCCTTCAACTCACAGTATGGCATACCACTGACCATCCTTTCCTATAAGGACCTCTACGGGTGGACCATGGACGAGATAGTTGCTTCCATTGGCCGAAAGAACAACTGCACCTTCTGCGGCGTATTCAGGAGGCAGGTGGGTGGGTTAGTTAGTTAAGGTTTTTTTCTTTCTTTCTTTTTTTTAACTTGGTATGCAGAACAACAGGTGTGTTCTTAATCCCGTTCTTCTGGGTCTTTCTGCAACAGGTGAGTTAGGTCTTATTTTCCAAAATCAACAAAATCAGCAAAATCACCAACAGCACCACACCTTCTCCACCTTACACGGGTCTGGCTCTGCTTTTTCTCCCTATCTTCCCCAAACTTCCTCTTATAACACGCTTTAGACAGAGCCGCGTCCCTGCTACCAGCTGACAAGCTAGTCACAGGGCACACTACGGACAATTTTGCCGAAATCGTCTCTTTGTGGATCTGTGGGGTGGGGGTGGGGGGGGGGGGGGAGGGTACGGAGAGACTCAACCAGTGTGCCAGCTGTTCAGGGACCACTGTGGCAATGGCTTTGCCGACCCTGCTTGCTTTTCCCGACTTCCCCTCTCCCTCTGATTTCGTCTCTGACAAGGCCCCGTTCCCCGAACACGTCAGGCGCTAGACAGGGGAGCAGCGCTGATGATGTGAGCAGACAAATCAGCAACGGGGCACAAGGCTGGTGATTTCGCCGAAACGGCGCTCCTGAACCAATGAAGATTAACGGTGATTTTGACTCCAACGGTGCTCCTGAACCTGCTGCAGGGAGATGTGACGAGGCGAGGCTCACGTGATGAATGAGGCTCTTCGGAGGCACAATGCCAGTTGCTTAACTGAGACTGCTTTCCCTCCCCCTCTTCCCTCACGTCTCATGCTCAGGCTCAGCCTGTCTAACACCTGCTGCAGTCCCCTCTTCCCTCACGTCTCAGGCTCAGGACAGGGGAGCAGCGCTGCTAGGCAGCAGACAAATTAGTACCGACAACTTGCCTAGCAGCAGACAAATTAGTACGGACAACTTGCCTAGCAGCAGACAAATTAGTACCGACAACTTGCCTAGCAGCAGACAAATTAGTACCGACAACTTGCCTAGCAGCAGACAAATTAGTACCGACAACTTGCCTAGCAGCAGACAAATTAGTACCGACAACTTGCCTAGCAGCAGACAAATTAGTACCGACAACTTGCCTAGCAGCAGACAAGCTGGTCACGGAGCTTAGTGCAGACGCCATTGCAGAAGCTGATTACCCACCCTTGTTTTTCTGCCCGCCAATCCCCAATCTCAGGCTCCGGACAGGGAGCCGCGCTGCTATCGGCTGACAAGCTGGCCACTGGGCACAACACAGACGACTTTGCTGAAACCGTTCTGCTGAACCCTGTTGAGGGGAGACGTGGCGAGGCTGAGTCGATGCGCCGCCATCTCCACTGGGGAGGACTCGGCACTGCCCAGCAGCAATCCGTTCAGATGATTTGCCAGAACTGACGACTCACTCTTGTGCCTCCCTTATCATCTCAATCCGCCACTTTCTCTTTCCTACACCACAGGCTCTAGACAGGGGCGCAGCTCTCCTCTCGGCAGACAAGCTTGTGACAGGCCACAACGCCGATGATTTTGCTGAGACTGTCTTGCTGAATCTGCTGCGGGGGGACGTGGCGCGGCTCAGCCGCTGCCCCGCCATCACCACTGGGGAGGACTCGGCACTGCCCAGAAGCAAGCCGTTCAAATACACCTACGAGAAAGAGATTGTCATATATCCGCCCCACAGTTCTCAAAACCCCCTCACTGCTTCACTCCACACTACCCGGAAGCAAGCCATTCATATGCACCTACGAGAAAGAGATCGTCATATATCCACCCCAGATCTCAAATCCTCGGACTGCCTGGCCTACTCAACTCTTATGCGTATTTGCTTGAGGCTTCTTAAAGGGTGTGCTTTGTTCTTACTTTGTTTGTTCATCCAGCAAGTGCGTAGAGTACTCCCTTTATCCGAGTTTCCTTTTGACGCAGAGTTCCTTAACTCCTCTCCTCCTGTCTGCTCCACTCCTGCCCTCCCTTCCCCCCTCCTCCCCTCTCCTCTCCTTCTTTTCTCCTCCTTCACTTTTCACGCTCTCTTCAATGCTTCTTTTGCCGCTTTTTGAGTCGACTCGAAAATCGACTCATTACACACAATGCTTCTTTTGCCGCCTCCTTTCCTCTCTGCTTGACCCCTCTCCCTATGCGGCGCTCTCCCTCCCTTCCCCCCTCCCCCCTGCTCTACCACCTGTTGCATCTGTGCATCACGCCTTCACACCCTTGCACCTGTTTGATTGGAACATCAATGTGCAATCAGCACGTACGCGCATTTCAAGAAGCTGGATTACTTTTCCACTGAATGTGAGATCTCGTGTCGTGTTGCTGTTGTCCGTGTGGTTGACACTCTTGCACATCCTTGTCATTGACATCCTTGTTATTGACATCCTTGTCATTGACATCCTTGTTATTGACATCCTTGCCATTGACATCCTTGTCATTGACATCCTTGTTATTGAAATCCTAGTAATTGACATCCTTGTTATTGACATCCTTGTCATTGACATCCTTGTTATGGACATCCTTGTTATTGAAATCCTAGTTATTAACATCCTTGTTATTGACATCCTTGTCATTGACATCCTTGTTATTGACATCCTTGTCATTGACATCCTTGTCATTGACATCCTTGTTATTGACATCCTTGTTATTGGCATCCTTGTTATTGACATCCTTGTCATTGACATCCTTGTTGCAGCTGCAAACGCTTGTTCCACGACTTGCTAGGCTTTCTTTCTTTATTTTCCCCCCCTTTTTTATTGCTTTCCTTCATTGGTCGAACAGGGGGGTGTGTGCACTCTCTCTATCGACTCCTCCATTCCTCCCTTGTCTTCCTCACATCCACTTTGTGTCCAAACCTGCTCACTTTCTCCATACGGCTTCCGACATGTTTCCTCCTCTTCCTGAACTCCTCCTCCATGCGTGAGGAGTCTATTTTTTAGGCGCCTCAAAAATAGACTCCCGGCACAGTATGCTCACTCTGTATAATATAATATTTCCTATGTGTTTGCCTACAACGCCTCACCCCCCACCCCCCCCTCCCCCCCCCCCCCCCCGTCCATCTCTCCTCCCCCCTGCTCCCCTTTCCGGTCTTCCCAGGCATCTACTCTCCAGACACACATTGTGGCTTTGTTTGAGGCACTGCAACAAACCCCCCACCCCCCACCCAATTCCTTCGTGCATTTTGTGACTTGTTCCCCCCCACAGGCATTTACTCTCCAGACGCCTACCGTGGCTTTGCAAGAGAATTCATAAAAGATCTAGAGGCCATACGGTAACGGAATTATTTTCTTCTAGTAGATTCCAGTGGAGGCTCTAAGGTCGTGGTGGCGTGAGCAGGTTTTTTTTGTCTTTCCTTTCTTCTTTACAAAGTCTCAGGTTTGACTATGCTCTTCTTTATATTGTTTTTTACTAAGCTTTTCTTCTTTATATGCTCCTCATTTGTCAAAATGCTTTTCACTCCATGTGTAACCAGGCCTCGAGCCATCCTAGACATTATCACATCAGCAGAGCAGTTCAGATTCCAGGCTGATGTCAAGATGCCAACTCAGCGTACATGTGACCGGTGCGGTTACATCTCCAGCCAGGTACAGTTACGACTGGGCGCACATGTAATGGACAAGGCTACAGATTGTGGAGTATGTCTTGTTCCGCACATTCAGTTGTGTGATCAGATGCATTTCTCATATGCATTTACAGATGCATTTCTCATATGCATTCACAGATGCATTTACAGATGCATTTGCAGATGCATTTACAGATGCATTTGCAGATGCATTTACAGATGCATTTGCAGATGCATTTACAGATGCATTTGCAGCAAGCAGCACCCCCCCTTGCATTGTGTGTGTGCTGCTGAGATGCCGTGAATGGCCGCCCCTCTCCCCTTTCGCTCAACAGGAGCTCTGCAAGGCGGGTGTGTTTCTAAATGGCTTGAATCACAATGACTTTCGTTGACTTGTGAGAGGGGTGTTTTGCGTCGTTCTAAATGCACCTAATTTTCCCCGCCTCCTCTCAACAGGAGCTCTGCAAGGCGTGCATGCTCGTGAAGGTTTTGAACCAAAATGGCTCACGCTGACTTGTGAGTCTCCTCCCCCCCCTCTCCCTCTCCCCCCCGCACCCCCGCACCCCCCCCATACCAGGAGCGGTGCAAGGTGTGTGTGCTACTGGAGGGTTTCAATCACGGTTTGCCGCGTTGGAGTGGCCTGCACTCGGGCTGCTGTTGCTCTTAAGCTTCTTCCCCTCCCCCCTCAACAGGAGCTGTGCAAAGCGTGTGTGTTACTGGAGGGTTTGAACCGCGGCTTGCCTCGGCTTGGAGTGGCTCGCACTCGCAGGAAGGACGGGCAATATGCCTCTCCAGCTGTTACCGACGGTGCTGCAGCTGCCGCTCTGCCTGCTAACGCCAAGCATGCCGTTGTTGCTCCTCCTCCTGGTGCTGCTGGTGCGCCTCTTGCTGCTGTTGTCAATTCCTCTTCAGCAGCTGTTGATGCTCCTGCTGCAACTGCTGTTTAGGTTGCAACTGCTGACTGCCTGCTCTTGTGACTCTCTGTCGTGAGAAGAGAATAAGAGAGGGTTAGAGAGAGGAGAGTACAGGGTTCAAGTATTGGGGCTGTCCCCTCTGTCAAACATATGCATAACTCATGTTTGTATAGACTGTATAGGGTCGACTCTTAGAGGGTACAACATCTTAGGTATATACCCTTGTACTCTCTCTCTATTCACTAATTCATTCAGTTCTAAGATGGTATCAGCAGTAGGTAGGTCCCACCGCCCGCCCACGCTTCCGCCCTAGGACCTACCCTCGTCCGTCCTAGCCGCGCCCGTCCGTCGCGCCCCTCCTGGGCTCCTTTCGCGCCTCCTAGCCCCGTCACGCCCCCTGGGCCTCGTCGCGCCCCCCCTAGGACCCGTCGCGCCCCCTAGGACCCGTCGCGCCCCCCTAGGACCCGTCGCGCCCCCTAGGACCCGTCGCGCCCCCCTAGGACCCGTCGCGCCCCCTAGGACCCGTCGCGCCCCCCTGGGACCCGTCGCGCCCCCCTAGGACCCGTCGCGCCCGCCTGGGACCCGTCGCGCCCCCCTAGGACCCGTCGCGCCCCCTAGGACTCGTCGCGCCCCTCCTGGGCCCCGTTCGTGCCTCCTGGCCCCGTCGCGCACCTCCTGGGCCCCGTCGCGCGCCTCCTGGGCCCCGTCGCGCCTCCTAGCCCGTCGTGCCTCTCCTGGGCCCATTCTGCCTCCTAGGACCCGTCGCGCCCATCGTAGCCAGCCCCGTGTCCGCCCTAGCGCCCCCCGCACCCGTCGTAGCCGGCCCCGTGCCCGCCCTAGCGGCCCCCGCGCCCGTCGTAGCCGGCCCCGTGCCCGCCCTAGCGGCCCCCGCGCCCGTCGTAGCCGGCCCTGTGCCCGTCCCAGCCGGCCCCGCGCCCGTCCCAGTCGGCCCCACGCCCGTCCCAGCCGGCCCCGCGCCCGTCCCAGCCGGCCCTGAGCCCGTCCCAGTCGGCCCCGCGCCCGTCCCAGTCGGCCCCGCGCCCGTCCAAGTCGGCCCCGCGCCCGTCCCAGCCGGCCCCGCGCCCGTCCCAGCCGGCCCCGCGCCCGTCCCAGCCGGCCCCGCGCCCGTCCTAGTCGGCCCCGCGCCCGTCCCCGCCGGCCCCGCGCCCGTCTAAGCCGGCTCCTGCGCCCGTCCCTGCCGACCTCGTGCCCGTCCCAGCCGGCCCCGCGCCCGTCCCAGCCGGCTCCCGCGCTCGTCCTGGCCGGCCCTGCGTCGACCCCACGCCCTTCCTCGCCGGCCCTGCGCCCATCCGATCCGGTACGGTTCTCCACCACCTTTCCCCGCACTGCCCCGCACTGCACTGCCCTGTACCGCACTGCACCGCACTGCACCGCCCTGTACCGCACTGCATCGTACAGTATCGCACTGCACCGCACTGAATCGCGCAGTACCGCACTGCACTGCCTAGCACTGCCTTGCACTGCACTGTTCCTGATGGCGGCGGAGCTTCGCTTCGACGCTGAAGGCCAGCCTCTTGAGTTCGAGGCGTGGCTCGCTGACCTCCGCCGCCACCTCACTGGCCAGCGGCAGAATGGCCACTTGCTTTCGACACACCTTGACGGTACGCTTCCCTGCCCAGACCCCCCTGCTGTGCTGCCTGCTGACCCCACCTCCGCTGAGCACGAGTCTACTGCCGCTGCTGCCCTTGCTCGCTCTGTCTGGCTTTCCCGAGATGCTGTCGTGCAGCTTGCCATTAGCAATGCCCTTCCCCTGTCTCAGTGTCCACGCTTTCGGTCTATCACTACCGCCCAGGCCTTCTTAGATGCTGTCATCAAGCGCTATTCCACCCCGCCTGCTGCATCAGTGGGTCGCCTGATCCTCCCGATGCTCTTCCCTGACCTTGCGTCTTTCCCCACTGTCGCGGACCTAGCTGCCCACCTGCGCACTATAGATGAGACCTGGCGCGCTGCCTGCACTGACGCCCAGTTTAGAGCCCACCAGCCGCCCATGACCTCTACCCTCTACGTGCTTGCCACCTGCCTCCCTGACCGCCTCGCCGCCGCTCGCGACCAGTTCCTTAGCATTCACCCTGGTGAACTCACCCTCACAGACATTGTAGATACCCTGACTGTGATTGAGACCCGCCACCGCTCTATCGCCCAGGCGAGCGGTACAGTGCCGGTCCCTATCTTTCAGGGTTCTGCCCCTTCCCAGTGCACCTTCTCCGATGGTTCTGCCGCTGTGGCTGAGACCGCTGCCGCAGCGCAGTTCCGTCCGGGGAAGGGCCGCCGCCCCAAGGCTGGGCGCGGCGGGGGAGGAGGGAGTGCAGGTGGGGGTGGTGGTGGAGGCGGGCCGCCTGGTGCTGGAGTGGACGAGGGGAACCCGCCCGTTTCAGCCGAGCAGCCGTCTCCGCCGTCGCAGCCGCAGCAGCAGCAGCAGCCGTCGCAGCAGCCGCAGCCACTGCAGCAGCCGCAGCAGTCGCAGCAGACGAGGCAGGCGAGTGCCCTCCCGCCCGGGTGGCCTGGAGCTGGTGGTGGCCGTGCGCGTGGTGGTGTGCCGGGTGGTGGTTCAGGAGGCGTGCGCTGTCAGTACCAGATCCAGACTGGTCCTCGCCGCGGCTTCGTTTGCGGTAAGATCGGTCATTTCACTCCTCGCCGTTTGTGTCGCCTGGATGACCTGTTTCGTCAGCACTTCGGCCCGTCGCCCGACCTACCGGACTGGCATAGTTTGCTTAGTCGTAGGGTTCAGATTTTTGACATGGACATGGATGCCATTGTAGCTGCCCTGCATGTGATGTATGCTGATGACTCTAGTGTGCTTCCCTCGTATTACCCCTTGTTGCCTAGTGTAGTTGTGCCCAGCTTAGACTCCCCTGCTGCGTCAGGCGTAGGATCTCCCGCTTTGTTTAGCCTCGGTGCTTCTGCCGCTCCTCCGCCGCCCGACACCACTGCTGCACTTTCCTTCACCTTGGACTCTGGCGCTTCCCGGTGTTTCTTCCGCGACTCCACTACGCTGACGCCGCTTCCTGTTCCTGCTGCAGTTTCTCTTGCTGATCCCTCTGGCGGTCCGGTAGTCGCCCGCAGTTCCACCACCCTTCCCTGTCCGGCAGTTCCTTCGGGCTCTCTCACAGGTCTGCATATCCCCTCGTTCTCCAGGAACCTAGTTGGTGTTGGCTGCCTCCAGGACCTCGGCGTCACCACTACGTTCCCTGGTCACGAGCGGTATGCTGTCTGTACCGAGGCCACCACTGGTGCCCCCCTTACCACGTTCCCCCAGGACCCAGTGTCCGGCCTGTTCACACTTGACACCGTGACCCCCCCGGCTGGGGCGCCCACCCAGGTGGCTGCGTCTACCCAGGTTGCTGCTGCTTGCTCTTGTCGGTCCCTCACGCACCCGACTCTCCTGTGGCACCACCGCCTAGGTCACCCTGCGCTCCCGCGTCTGCGTCACATGTCCCAGTACGGTCTCGTCCTTGGTCTCCCCGTTCGTTCCCCGAGTTTCCCTCCTACCCCGCTCCGCCGTGCACGCCTTGCTTCGAGGGTCGGCTTCGCCGTGCCCCTCACTCCTCCTCGTTTCCCCCTACTGCCGCGCTGCTGCAGACCCTACACATGGACGTCTGGGGCCCTGCCCCCGTCCATGGGCCGCGTCGCGAGCGCTACTTCCTCGTGCTTGTCGACGACTTCATGCGCTACACCACAGTCTTTCCCCTGGAGCGAAAGGCCGACGTGCCTGACGCCCTCATCCCCTGGCTTGTTGCTGCGTGTGTTCGCCGTGGTCTCCCTGTCTTGCGCCTTCACTCCGACCGTGGTGGCGAGTTTGCCTCAGGTGTCCTTGGTCGATTCTGTCGTGCGGAGGGTATTACCCAGACGTTCACCCTGCCGGAATCCCCGCAGCAGAATGGGGTCGCTGAGCGACGCATCGGCTTGGTCATGGAGGTGGCTCGCACCTCCATGATCCATGCCGGTGCACCCCATTTTCTGTGGCTGTTCGCCGTTCGCGGTTCGCTACGCCGCTCACCAGCTTAACCTGTGGCCGCACCCCCAGCAGCCGCAGGTTTCGCCAACCCTTCTCTGGACTGGGTCTTCTGGTGACGCGTCGTCGTTCCACGTTTGGGGCTGCCTTGCTCACGTTCGTGCCTCCGACACGGACAAGCTCACTGCCCGCACCCTTCCCTGTGTCTTCCTCGGTTTTCCCCTTGACGCGTCCGACTGGCACTTCTACCACTCACCGTCCCACCGGTTCTTTCACTCTCGTGACATCACCTTTGACGAGTCCGTCTCCTTCTACCACCGCTTCCCCCACAGCGGTCCCCCGGTTACTCCCCCCCTGTTCCTGGTCACTCCTTCCCCGGTAGTCCTTGACCCCCCTCCCCCCCCTCCCCGTCCTGCCCCCTCTAGTGTGTCTCACGTCACCCCCCTCCCGTCGGTTGTCCCGGTCGAGGAGTCTTCTGACTCTGGCAGTCCTCCGGCGCAGTCCTCGCCGTCTGTCCCTCCCCCGGTGTCTCCTCCTCCACTGCCTCTACAGCCACCGCCGCTGCAGCTATTGCAGCTCTCGTCTCCGCCGCAGCCGCCGTCGCAGTCGTCGCTGCAGCCGCCGCCGCCGCTGTTGTCGCAGCAGCAGTTCGTGGACTCTGGGGGTGCTGGCGTTGAGGTGGGTACTAGTCCCTGGGCTCCTGTCGTGGCTTGTCCCGGCGGGCCTGGGGGTGGTCCCGGTGCTGGCGGGGTTTTGGGCTCTGGGGGTGTCCCTTATCGGGGTGCCGGAGTGGAGTGTTCCGGCGGTAGCCGAGGAGCAGCTTGCGGCCCTGGTGTTGGTGTTGTGTCCCCGCAGCCGAAGTCCCCGCTGGTGTCCGCCATTCGCCTACTCGGCCTTCCGTCCCCTGACTCTGCGTCTGTTCCTCTCCCGCCGTCCCCTCCTCTTCCTGTCTACGGCCCTGTGTTCCCTCCGCCGGACTCGTCCCCGGCTCGTCTTCCCCCTCGTTCCCCTCTTGTGTCCCCTCCTCTGTCTCCTGACCCGACGCCTCCGTCTCACGTCTGGTCTCGCCGTCCCTCCCGTGCTCGTCCTGTCTCCCCTGTCCCGCGCTCTCACCCTATGTTGCTTCGTTCCCACGTGTCGTTTCCTCCCCTCCTCCCGTCGCCTCCTCCGTCTTCTCTTGCCGTTGCACCTCCTCCCTTGTCTGACTACTTTCGCGCTGCCCGCCCTCTTGTTCCTCGGGTCCTTGCCTCTCTTGTTACCGACCCGTCGGTTTCG